GTTCCTGTCTACCAATAATACGATGCTATGGTCTGATGCGCATCACGCATTCCGCACATTATGGATTCTTGTTTTAGTCGTCCTCCAGGAGCATCCTCCATGTTCATAATTCACCCCACCTGATGGAGAGCATGTGGCCAGGGTACACTTTTCCTTCGGAATATTGCGGCTCAACCTATTACCAAAAAAAGAACAGAACACCGGACTGCTGATGTAAAGCTAGACTCCCCGAGAAAGAACGAGACTGATATTATCAATACCGATTACGAGACACCAGTGGTGGCAGGCTTCTCTGAGGTCATCTTACGCTTTTCTTATCTCCTGCTGGATATTTCCTTCAAGGCGTCAGAGAACGCGCTAAATGTAGGTATAGTTTCGATCTGTGCATTTTGTGTTACGAGGGTGTTGGTTACAAGTGTTTGCGCCTATCATGAACATTCAGGCGTTGGTCGCAGTTGAGATCCCACAAGGATCCCTTTTGAGTATCCTTTGAGAGACTCTGATTTGCTCCTCTCTCTGCTGTCGGGTCCAAAAAAATCGTCCGTTTCGACGGCCGCATCTGCACCATGCGACCAACTAACCCAATTCTATCTAGACTCTTACAGGCACAGAGCGACTTATTCCTATTTTGTCAGCGACTGCGCCTCTTCACAAAGCCCTACGGATGACATGATACAGTGACCAAATTATCCTTATTGTCCGACTTGGCGGTGGACGAAGCCGGGTGCAGATGCTGGAAAATCCAGAACACACGTGAGCCGACTTCACTTCCACTCCCCGACTTTATGGTTCTGACGCAAATTCGGAGCATCACATCACACACACGAGGATGATGAGGTAGGTGGTTGCTCTTCGGTCGGTTGTTCGTGAGGGAAATACTGGAAACTACTCGTCGGGATTTAATCAGCATGCTATTATTAACCATGACCTGCACTGTTTCCTCAGTCTCCACCGGCTTCTATCTGAGGTCGAGGCTGAGCCGAACGTCGGGTAGATCGTTCAGTCATCTTGTCATCGTTGTTTTCTCTGCCTACTCACTACTCCTAATCCTTGCTTCGTTAGTCCTTATGTGTCCATTTCAAACCACCGTTCAATACAGCCTGGTACTCGTACTCTTCCGCGTTGGCTTCAATGTGCCAAGTTTCCATACTGTCGCACTTTCTCGCTTCTTCGCTCTTTTTCTTTCTTTTTCGTTTCTTTTTTTGGGTCTGCACCCACTCGTCAGGTTCAGCCAAGACTGCGATTTTTAGACCCCACCAACTTAGTATGGCTGGCAACATCCACGAGCCCACGACAGAATTCTCGGCGACAGAGACCCTCAGCAAGTCAGCACTGACCCAAGCCCGTTAATGTGGGTGAGGATGCCGATCTCAAATCGAGCTGAGACCCTTGGTCTGCGAGACCCTGACTCCCACGCGGTCCCGCTGTTAGTCAGTCAGTCAGCGGCCGACAGTGGCTCAAACCCCTCCAGCCTCACCAGTCCACCGTGGCTCCTAAGCTTTTCCCGCAATGTTTCCTTTGAGTTCTTCCGCTGCTCACACGGGTGACTGCCTCCTCTCGGCCATATCCGCTGCATGTCGCGGCCAACTATGTGTACCGGTGACTGTGCTTTTGTGCTGACCCCACGGTCCCTCCCCAGCTACCCGGTATGGCGCCTCACTGGACCAAACCCATTTAGAAGCAGTGGATTTGGAAACAGGTATGACTCCGCTTGCCGTGGACGCCTTGCGTCCCGGTCCAGCGTACCTGCTTGAGATCTGTAATCATCTCTGTCAGGGATGGTGTGTGGCTCGTTCTTTCCTCCCCGTCGTTCGTTTCCTTTCCCGCTAGGCTACCACACTTTTCCTAGAACCTTCTACACTAGGTTCAACTTATATACAGATCGATTTCCCTCTGCAAGACATTGATTCATCCTTCACAAACTCACTCACATCAGCCTCTGCGACTGTGTTTTTTCTTTTTCTTGCAACTAGCCTGCTTCCGTTTCGTTGCAATTCGATTCTATATTTACGCTCCTCCTTCAAGTATAAGTTTTGGTTGCCTTGTCGTTACCCGAGCCTTGATTCCTTTTGCATTGCCCTAAGCGTTCTGCAAGAAATTCTTAATTGATTTAATATTTAAGTAACCCATACGCCCGGGTTATCTGTCTATCACTCAACCGTGCCACATCAGCGCCGCAAACTTTGATCCTACTACCGCAACCACGCAGGTACAGACGCAGGTACAAACTACGCTCCTCCACGCCGCCAGAAGCCTACCCAAGAAACCATCGCCATGTGTTATCAAGTCACAGAACGGTACTCAGTGTGCCAGTGCCTCTACCACAAACACGCTGTTGACCCATGCCAGGCCTTTGGCCAGAGAGGCCATTCCGTACAGGAGAAAACAGTTCTAGTCGGCTACGCATGTTCAAAGCACTCTTCAAAACGATCAGGCGATTATAATTACCCATCGCAGGGCGGGACAAACTGGCCCGATTCGGGCTACTCGAGCGGGAAGGGACCCTTTCGGTAACCGCACCCATTGCCATCACTTCAGCGATACAAGAGCAAGAAATGCGCGACCCCCAAACCATGAGAGAAATAAGAGGTTTGATGCCGGGTACGCATTTCGAACCATGATGGCGGCATCCGAGAATGAAAACCGTTTTACCGGCAGATGGAGGAATATCTCGATGGTGTCGTCGAGAATGGGTGGGGTGCTGTGCGCTCCACCATAATGTTTTCTTGACTTCACTGAACCCCACTCACTCCCTTCACACGACGAACCCGCGGAGGAAACAGAAATGCCGGACATTTCTGCACTTTTCACCATCTCGAAGTTATGGATATGAGGACCACGTTTATTACGAGGAAAATGAAACGATGGAAGAAGAAGGAAGGAAGAGAGATGGAATGCCTATCCCAAGACCACGCCACGACTTTGACCCCATACCCCTCTCTACGACAGCAACGAATTTTGATTTCCCCCACGAAAAAAAGCACTGTTCATTTTGTTTACCGATTCGGATGGTTCTCTGGCAGAAATCCGATCCCACGGTCAAAGAGCACGATGAAGACGGCTGAACTAATGGGATTCCGATTTCCCGACGTGTTATGAGATATGTCTCAGATGAAACTTGGGGAAGCTGGAACATTTTCCTTCTTTCCTTTTTCCTTCCCGCAAGCCATGAAGATACGGAATTAACCACGGACCACCACCACGACGCATGAACGATTCCAAGATCTCACAGACCTCCCTTCTTTTCCTATGTCTCGGTTTCTTTGTATCCGTTTGCTATCTTGTCCCCCCTCTCCCTTCACTACTTCAGCTCTTCCCCCGTCGTCGCATCACCATTCTAGCATTGCTTGATTTTATTGACTCGTCGCATTTTCTCCTTTGTTCGTCTCTCATCTCATACTGCATCATAATCTTGGCCCAGGCGGCTGAGACTCAATCATAGACGGGGAGTTTTTGTTTTTCATTGCTTTTTATTTTCACCTGCTTTGCGTCTTGTTGTTTTTGAGTCAATTTCCTTTGTGTACTTCTATTCTTATCACTTGTCTTATTTTTCCTTTTTTTACTTCTTCTTGTTCTTCTCTTCTTCATTTTTAGATCTCATAGCATCACTGTCGAGAGCAGGTCTCTCGACGAAATTTAACATCCAATTTGGTATCTTCAATTGAGCTATTTACAGCAGCCCTCTTCCAAAACCTCGGTTGCACTCAAAAATAGTAATCATTAACTAAATTGTGATATGGCAATCACTGGTGACACAACAGGGACCGCGGACCCCAAAGCTGTGCAGAGGCTTGCGGAACCAACACATTGGGAATAAATAGCAGTAAACCATGCAATCATCTTTGAGAATTATCTGTTATATTTCTTCTTTTTGTTCCTTTCTTTTACACTTTTCGGAATTCCAAATTCACGAGATCTCAAAGTTCAAAGTATATCTCCATCTCATCTCATCTTCAGGAAACAAGCAACCCTCCGACTCCGACTCCGACTCTGACTCCGAGGAGTCTGGTTCGACAACTTTATATATTTATAGAACATAACTTTGAGCCTAATCTTTATAATATGGATACATAAAATTTCTATTTACATTAGTATGTTTTACTATACCTTCCACTGGCAGTGGCTGATTCAAAGCATCACCATACTTTGTCTCCCCCCGTCCCCCGTTTCCGAATCTCGGATCTATATCTATATCTAAGTAGTACAATATACTAACTAGCAAATGGGGCGGAGTGGCTGAAGGAGGAATGTTGAAACAACAGAGCCTCAATCCTTATGCCAAGCTGCGCCTACGGTAAAAACAAGGGGAGTGTTCCTTTCCTTCTCTATTGTTTGTGGGGTCCAAAGTTGTGTGAATGGATGGATATCACGACATATCAGAGAGTCAGTCGCTTCAACTTGACTCACATACTGTCGAAGCTTTCTGTCATTGCTATCCATTTGGGCTGGTTGGGTTGAGCGTGGGATTTACGGTACGAGACTTGACATCCCTTGCTGTAGGTGGAATATAAATCAAGAATACGGAGGAACTCTGGGGGATGACGGAAAGACCATGATCGTGCGTGATCTTTAGTGCAAAAAATGTGGTCTTTTCGCTCTGCTAGTCGCTGTAAAAAGCGATCAAATCGACCATACTCAATCTAATTATGATTCTTCTTCTAACTGTCTTTCTCCGAGTCTCTGTACTTACGTTTAAGAGCTTGTCTCTTAAAAAACATTTCCCTCGTCATCAGTGTAAGCGCCTTCGATAAAGGGTTTCATATGAGCTGGAACATTCAAGACGTTTGAAGGAATTCTATTATATCGTCGTGGTCGAGAAGAAATGGTCTCATATGTATCTTCTCGCTCCTTTTGTTCCTGAGGAATAGACGAACCCGATGATGGATAGAAATAGACAGACACACTTTTTCCGGGCAAATCTCAGACTCAGAACTCGGGGCGTTGACTAGCAAGGGCGGACACAGACACACAGAATAACTCGAAAAAAAAAGAACTGCTTTTGACAAGAGCGAGATTCACTCGCGCATCTTTCGATACTGGTGTTATCAGATGCTGATACATCGGAAGTCACGTGACTTAAAACCAGCGCCTTGGACCGCTCGGCCATCTTGCCTCGGTTTACTTAATGTCAAGAACAACATATTTAGTCACGGGGGGCCCGACCTGAGCGGCCGGACCGGGGGCCCTAGATCACGTGCAGGAAAGAGATTATATAAGAGAGCGCGAGAGTTCGTTCTAAAGTATCTGAAGAAGTCTCTCACATTCAGAAGAAACTACGACTATTGCTACGCGGAGGTCAGGCACGTAGGCGTATATTGGGTAATGTGAGTGGATGAAGGTGTCTCTCTCAAGGAAGAGAGTCCTAACTAACTATGTAAGAGATGTTGGGGCCGAAGGTCCGGAGCACAAACGGACTGCGTTTACTGCCAGGTCTGGCGGGCCGTAAATCTTGTATATATGTATTTCCTATGTCAAGAGTAGTGTACCTCCAGACATGGCTGTATATAAAAGAGGTTTTTATATAAACAATATATAAATACCCGTGGACCCCCTTTTCCTCTACCGTCTGCTCCTCCACTCAGTTAGTCCCCATGTGCACTAACCATCCCCATACCAACTACCACCACCATCATATCTCCTTCACATTCAAGAACAAGACCCGGGATACGTGACGCCCCTTCCCCCCAAGCAAGTCCATCGCAAGTGTCCACAAGAGAGAAAAGAAAAAAGCAAGGTCGTGGAAACGGAAAGAAGGCCACGGGGCCAGCTCGTTTCCCTCTTTTCCGCTTCCCGCTTCCTCTCCTTTTCTATCTTCTATGTATATATCCATACGACGGCGTGGGTTTCGGGTGGGAAAGGGGTTGTGTAGAGTTTATCATCCCGAGTCCGTATTTTTTTTGTTGGTTTTTGCTGGTTTTTTTTGGTTTTGTTTCGTTGTTGTCTGATATAGTTGACTCATCGATCGAATTTCGTCTTAGCCGTGGGTTCGTTCGGTTCGTTCGTGGTCGTCGTTTGATCCGTTCGTTGGATTTCATTGTCCGTATGTATGTAAAAGAGTGTGATAAGGAAAAAACGAACCCCGAGGGGTTTTAAAAAGATTATAAAAATAATGAGTGGCTTTGGTTTAAAAGGGTTGTTGAGAAAGGAATATATAAAAAGTTTTTCGTAAAAATGTTTAAAAAAAACCGGGGGAGGGTTCCTTGCATGTGGCTTCCCAGCTCTGGGGACGTATGCTAGGTACGGTCGTGTTTGGCGATTCGTCTTCTCTCAAGAAAGAAGGGAGGAGGGGTGCACTGGGTTGGGTCTGTATGAAACGAATGGATAGGCGATCAAGGTCCGGAAGAAGAAAATCGTTAAAAGTCATTCCGTCCAGGTGCCAGTTTCATCGACAAGACATGTACAGTTCCTCTTCGTGGTCGCATCGGGGGGTTTCCCTCACGGACAGGGGGATTGAAACCTGGCAGCAGCATATCAACTAGCCGCTCACCTCCTCACGACTACACCCTCGCGTCTCAGTGGGCCGCGAGCACGGCGATATTCCTCATCAGAGTCCGAATCGGAACAGCAAGAACTAGAGTCCGATTCACCGTATCCACAGCGACTGCCGCCACAGTCGAGCTTAACGCGGTCACCTTTTCGGGTAAGACCATAGCGTTCGCAGCGGCAGACTGGGGTTCCGGGCAAGTGATCACTGAGAGAGGAGAGTGAGGATGGAGAGGACGAGTCGGAGCGAGAGGACCAGGAGCCAACGGAGCTCGGAGGGCTGTTGGAGAGGTCGTCGCTGTCTGGAGACATCTTGGAGCGGGCAAAGCGTCTTGTGAGCTCGTCGACTGTGGGTGGAGCGTTGAAGTCGGCTTCGCGGAGATGGCGGGACTCGTATGGCTTGGAAGGCTTTGGGTGTTGTATCTTGGAAGGGGACAGAGCACGGCCCTTGGCCACGTCTGTGGAGCCGCGGTAGGAGTGTTTCGAGGTACGATCACCACCGCCAGGTACATCGAGGATGTTTAGCTTTCGTCCGGTGGTAGGCTCGACAGTGTGCTCGACAGCAGGGTCGTGAGAGACATGGTATCCATCTAGGATGTACTGTTGTGTTCATTAGTATTGCTGGAGTATACTGAAAGAAGACAAGGGGTAGGGGAAGCATACATAGTACCAGTATCTCTGACCAAGCTCAAGAGTAGAACCCTGGAAGCGGAAAGTGCCCTTCCAACTGCCTGGCTTCGAAGAAGAAGCGTTTGAGAGAGGCAGTTGCATAGAATAGTTGTCCCAAGAGCCGAGGAGATGCGCCGTCTTGACATTGGCGGATGTGCGGAGAGAGAAGTTCAGTTGAACCGCGGCCATGATGCAGGATCTCTTGCAAGAAGGTAGGGAATAAAAAAATAAAATAATAAAGAGGATATAAAAAAGGATATTAATATTATAGTAGGCTTGAAGCTCGACAGTCGATCAACGACGGCGAGGGGATGATGGTTAGAAGTGAAGTTGAGGGAGCGTAGCAGAATTAGATTAAAATGGTTGGATATAAAGAACTGAAAAGAAGAACAATGCTTCCGATATAATCGAGAATAATGGGCGGAGCGGCGTCTTCTGAAGCAACGAGCAAGGGATATGGGGGGGATAGAAGCTATTAAAACGTAGCGTCAAACGTCGAAACCAGCGACGAGAGAGGTATGTTTTGTTTGAAGTTGAATAAATTCCACGAAGTACCCGAAGGGATGAAGGGAGGGATGGGAATAGTGCAAAGGGGCAATATAGGGAGTCGAAGGGAGAGAGAGCACAGCTCTTCTAGATTCGGATTTTTTGAAGGATAAAAAGTTGTGAAAAATAATGAATTAGAATAATATGAATGGAGATGACGGTCAACGTCAATTCAAAAAATCAGATAGAAGAGTGTGAGGGGGGGGATTCAGGTACTTCGATGGAAATTAAGGGATAGCTTCTATGAAGAGGCTTGAGGCTTGCTGGAGAAAGAAAGAAAGAAGAAGAAGAATGGAAACTGCAAGGAGGAGAACAAAGGGTTCTTATGTGAACCAACGACAGAACAAAATATGCCGCCGGGGGAAAAGAAAGAAAGTGACAGGCGGGGAAAAAACGAGGGAAGGGGACGACAGGATGCGAGAATGCGGATGGAAAAGTGAGTGATCTTCTCGTTAGTTGCAGATGATGAGGGAAAGAAAGATGGCGGTTAAACAAACGATGTGGTTGGTTGAAGGTGCAGGACTCGGCAAGGTTCAGATACAGGCTAATGCAGACTAATGCAAGGTGCTGCATATGGCAGGGATAAGAAGTGGAGAGGGAAGAAACACTTACAGGGCTTACAGCCAATCGATTCTCGTGTTCTAAATTTAAAGTAGGATCTATATTTATCTTTAATTTAGGCTTAAAACTTTGTTTTTCTCCCGTTCTTGGCGAGTTGATCCTGCCCCGCTATTGATCATCGAGAATTCGAGATTTGCCTTGAGAGATAAACATTGAGATATAATTATCCATTTTGATACTACTATGAGGGGGGTAAACATTCTGTTGCATATGCTCTATCAAGTTGGAGAGAATAACAAGGAGAAATACACTACAACGTCGGAAGATGGATACATTTACCGAGATCATCCTTTCAATGCCTTCCATCCACCAATGGCAGTGTTTTCGGAGCACTCCATTACTTGAACCCTGGGAAGAGTCCGGGCGCTTACATGCATCACTTGTCCTCCGATGAAGAGGATCATCCATCCACTATCCAGACAACAATCTGACATGGGTGGAGCAATTGGCTTGAAGAAAGCGGCTGAAAGAGCAAATAGCCATCGGGGTACCATCAACTAGCAAGGAAAAAGGAAAGTAATTGTCATCAGTTGATATCCATTCTACTCCAAATTGATTTGGCCTACCCTTCCCTTCCCTCCCACCCCCTTCACCAAAGAGCATTCGTTAAAAAAGATTATGTACATACTCACGTCTTGCCGACGCCGGGGGATTAGCTAGAAAACAAAAACAAAAATCAATGTATCAAATGGAAGGAACATGCCCTTTCTTTTCCCTGTTTTCTGCACTTCCGATGGCTGCTTCCACCACTCGCATCCCCTGCACTCCGCACCTTTCCCCACTCCTATTCCACCCTCATCCCTGGTCGTCGTTAGAATATTCCAACCCATCCAAATTCCATTGTTCCTTTTCCCGAGTCCCCACATGCTGGGTAGCGTCGTGGGGTATTCCGAGAGAAGGTAGGAAAGTAACGCGTCACTCCCCACAAAGGTCAGGAAAATGACACAGCTTTAGTAAAACAATATGAATGTGAAAAGGAATCGCCCCACCCATATGGCAAGTGATACTGATCAAGCACATATTGACGATACTCTAGCGAATCGACACTCCAGATCGCTTGGTAAACATTCGAGCTGCAATGTTCATCGATGCCAACTCCTGGAAGAGTAGTTTGGCCGCATATGGGATATGCACCTGGGAGATCCGATTCTTGTTCTTGCAAGCTCGGCACTCAAAATCGCCCTTTTTCAGTTTCCTATTGTATCACCTGAGGTCAGCCACACGCTCCACACACCCATGATCCATCAATGCATAAAGAAAAACAAGGAAGTGAAGAAACTCACGCGATCGGTGTCATTAACCCGCAGATATCGCAAATATGGACTCGGAATGGGTCCGACACATCGAACAGCCTCTCTTTCAAGAAGGCGCTGGCTCCGTGCGCAATCATGCAGTCACGTTCCATCTCTCCGAATCGCAACCCACCATCTCGTGCTCGACCTTCCACCGGTTGCCGTGTTAGGATTTGGGTCGGACCCCGAGCCCGTGCGTGGATCTTGTCGTCCACCATGTGTCGCAGACGCTGATAGTATGTCGGCCCCAAGAACACCTGTGCGACCAATTTTCGGCCCGTGTGCCCATTGAACATCACTTCAAACCCGCGAGACTGATATCCGTGCTCGCGGAGTAGAGCGGAAACAGAATCAACCGTCACGTCTGTAAACGGTGTGGCATCTCCTTCGTACCCACGAAGAGACGAGACTTTACTCAACTGGCACTCGATTAAATGGGCAATAGTCATACGGGACGGAATGGCGTGAGGGTTGATGATCAAATCCGGGACAACACCCTCCC